GCCTCCAGAAAACACATATCTTTCTTTTCTTAAGCCACAGTTTGTCTCACAGCAGCTACACACCTGGTCATCACCATATGCTGCTGATCTCCTAAAGAAACCAGACCTTCAGTTCCACCCAGAAATGCTCAGAACCCCCAGGCTATGCTCGGGATGTACTGTAATACCTTCACATTTCATTCCACAGTGGGCCCACTTGCAAAATATAAGGCTTGCCAATTCCAAACTGCAACCCAAACTAGAGTTAGGAAGCATTTATGCGTCTCTGGGAAGCAATTCAGCTACTAAATAAGTCATAATAGAGGAAGCTTTTAACACCGGCTTTTTCAGGTGACAATGTATGTATTGCATCATCCTCATAGGTGCTTTTTATGACGGCCTATAGGGGGCACTAGAAGCTAAATTCCTTCTATGGAGGTTTGCTGCAGGTTTAAGTAGTTTGAAGTGTTTCTCCCATCATTCCTTTTGGCTACTGGACACAAGGAAAAAAGGCATTTTAAAAGCAAAAATCAGGTTTAGCTCTATGAACCAAACTGTTACTCAAAATTAAAGAAAGATCTGTTGTTCATTTTCATGATTGTCTGGGTTGCTAATTTCATTTTTTTCCATTACAATATCAAATCAAATCACATTTATTGTCACATCACATTTACACAAACGTGAAGGTGAGTGAGAATCTTAGGTGCGTAACCCCTTGTAGTACTTAAATATACAAAAATATTTACCAAAATATAATAATATATATATATATATATATATATATATATATATCGCTGCTGTCAGGTGAAAACCTCATATCTCCATTTTTTGCCGTTTTTAAATTTTTGAAATCATTTGAAAACACGTGTTGTCCTTTACATTGTTTCAAGATGAATGGACCAAAAGAAACGGCACAAAATGACTTGTCTGGTTCCATTGACTTACATTAAAAGTAAAGTATGTTTTTTCCTTCTCCTGTAAAGTTACCATTTTGAAATATATATATTAACATACATACACAGACAATAAACACACAATACACACAGTATGCACACAGTACACAGTACACAGTATTGCATTATTCCATTGTACAGTTTTTGTGCAGTTAGTTATATAAGTTATGAACTAAAAGCTATAATATGTACAGTTGTACACATTTACATATATGCAGTGTATATATATATATATATATATATATATATATATATGCAATAGAATACCAACTGGTAATAGGTTACCAACTGACAGCGGAGTGATGCACAGTTAGAATGCTTCTCATGTATATACACACTGCCCACTGTGTACTCTGCATCTCATATACATATATATATGTATGTGTGTAGGGTGCAGATATAGATGTGCTATAAATACAGTAAGATCAGAATGAGTCTGTTTGAGGTGTGGATGTGGTGTGGATTGTCTGTGGAGATCATCATGATGATGATGATGATAATTCAGAAGTGTAGTGACAGCCCTATAGACCGATACACTCCTGGCTGTTCAGCAGCCTGATGGCCCGGGGAAGAAACCGTCTGGGAACCGGCTGGTTCTGGACTTCATGCTTCTGTGCCTCCTCCCGCTTGGCAGCTGTGAGAACAGACAGTGGCTTGGGTGGGTGGAGTCCTTTAAAATCCAGAAGGTTCAGGATCTGGACCCCGGTGATGTGCTGGGCCGTCTGCACCACCCTCTGCAGAGCTTTCCGCTCGATGGCAGTGCAGTTCCCATACCAGGTGGTGATGGAGCCTGTTAGAATGCTCTCCACAGTACATGTGTAGAATGTTCTGAGGATGTGGGGGTTCATGCCAAACCTCCTCAGCCGCCTGAGGTAGAGGAGGCGCTGTTGTGCCATGTTCACCACCCGTGTGGACCACATTAGCAGCTCGGTTTGTTCCTCCCCTTCACCTGCACTTTCAACATTTCAGAACTCAGCATTCTCATTTCAAGAAAATGTTCCAAATAAGGTTGTAAATATTCTTTAGGTATGATTCTTGCTGGGTTCTGCTAATTTTATGATCTGATCAAATACTTAAATCCAGCCACAATGTCTTAAACCAGTGATATTTTCTGACTTTAAATAAGAATTTCAACACAAGCTCTAAGAAATCTGAAGTAAAATGATCATAGACAATTCTACATGATTCAAGTACCTTACTGGTTTGGTGTCATCTTTTTGGACCCTGATGTTTTTTTCACAGGAAAGAGTCTCCAGGAGGAGGGTTGGTGACCACTACTAAGGGTTAAGCAAGAACATTCCTCTTAGCAGGAACAGGCCTTGCTCTCAGCATCAGTAACCTTCAGGAACTATGTGATGCAGAGCTGCAGAAAGGAGAGATTGATCAGGCCATCCCTGCTAGAAAAACCAGCACTGACCAGCAAAGCTGTGTCGTTTTTCAGATGCCAGTATTTCAGCATGGCCATGCTGGGTGACCAGCACAGACTTCATGCTGGTCTAAGCATTTTTCCCCCCAGCAGTGTTCAATAGATGTTAACACATGATCTCCATTTCAATACTGTTTTGAAGCATGACCATTAACTTTTCTCCTTGGGGAAATCCAACACAAGTTTACACATGTATGAAATAAATAAACCAAAAGACAGTTTTCTTTTCTAGCATAAAATAAACTGTCCAAGCCACGTAATGCTTAATTTTTTAGAACTGATTTTGCCATGTTCAAACTGGGATTTACATAGCAAACTGCTCCAGGCATTATACAACACTACTGATGCAGCTTTGGTCTGATAGCTAGTTAGCAAGCTAAAGGCTACACTACTAGCAGAAAAAAGGCAATCCACCATTCTTTAATCTAAAACTTGAAGCTTAAGCCAAAGCAACTTTAAAAAGTTACACACATTGCACAGGGACTCCAAACAGGCTACAAGGGCAGTCGTGGACTGGAGGTTAGGGAACCGGCCCTGTGACTGGAAGGTCGCCGGTTCGATCTCCAGAGCCAAGAGTACGTGACTGAAGTGCCCTTGAGCAAGGCACCTAACCTTGAGCTGCGGATAGGGCTGCCCACCGCTCCGGGCAAGTGTGCTCACTGCTCACTAGTGTGTATGTAGTGTTTCGCTGCACAGATGAGTTAAATGCAGAGGTGAAGTTTCCCCGTTGTGGGACTATTAAGGGTCTCTTAATTACACAGGTACTTTATAGGCAGTTGCCTAGCAAAGCCGAGCTTGTTCCTATTAAAAAACTCTTTTTATCATCTCCTGCAACTTAGTCATGAAGCAAAGCCAAGAAAGTCATAAGGAACATTAAAACAGGGTTTGTGAACCCATAGTACACCATTGCATGCATTACCACTGTGTCCTGCTGGAACCTGAAAGCCTCTAACTGAAACTGCAGCTTGTCATCCTGATCTTGGAATATAAACAGGAGCTTGAGCCTGTAATATTTGCATTATCCAGACACCTAGTGAGAGGACTGTACAGTTAGTCAAATCAGAGGAATTAAAAGCACCTATGGTTCTCAATTATTGAGTATCGAGGGACTGCGTTTGCATCATTGACCGGTGTGACCACACAGCTATCCACAAACACATAGAGAGGTACATGGTTGCAGTGCATCACCAATGCCTGAATGTTAAAGAGGTCTCCTAGGAAATACTGGTTGGATGGCCACTCATACTTCCAGTCATCTGCAAGAAGCCACGTCTATATATACTGTATATACTACAGCTATAATGAGATTGAAAGGATAGCATAGTGGACAACAAGGTAGGTACAGGCAACATCACCACTATACCAATTAGTCTTTAGCCAAGACGCTACACTTTATAAATAGACTAACTTCAGCAAACCTGTCATGACCCTCAAGGAGAAAACAAGCTGTTCTTTCACCACCTTAGTAGCAGCATAGGGTGTCCATGCAGGCATCAGTGCATTTCTGCTCACATTCATTGTCCTGTATCAGTTTAAAGACACGTTTGTAGTTCCAGAATTAAATATTTCCGTGAAATAGTGCTGCAAAACAAATGAATCACCACTAACTCTAATGATGGAAGTGCCTGGAATAGTCATTGGGGTGAAGGTTAGCACAAAGCTATAGATTAGCTCATCTTCAGACATCTGGAAAACATAAGGAGTTGTTCCAGCTTCTGTCATGGTTAGCCATGTTAACATGTTTGGTCAAGCAATGCAAACGAGATTTGGTTACACTAACAATGGAAGCCATTTGTTAGCCAAGGCCTTAAAGCGCTGTTACAGGCCTGCAGTTCAGACTCCAAAACAAGAACATTTGCAGCAACATCCTGTCCTGATGGACCACAGCCTCCTAGCAAGAAAGCAGAAGGCATTAGCAGCTGCTCAGTTCCAAATAAATCCTGCTTCACTTCCACCTAAACTGTGTTCTCCCCACACTCAGCTGCCACACTGTTTTGAGGGACTGGTTGTCTTAACTGAAATTGCACTGGCGGCTGTTTTGGTGGCTGTGGAATTTCTGGAAACCTCCATGTCACTCTCTTCACCAGTCCCTGCAATTGTTGATGAGAGTGAATATTTAGGGAGTATATAATTGACTATAATAATTGGCTGGGCTTAATTATGGTTTGCCTGGGCAGGAATCTGAGACTGAAGTCCAAGCAGAGCTTGCGCAGGTTTCCCACTGGTTGTTTGAGGAGGTCTGCTGACCTTGGGAGCTAACTGCGCCTTCCATTTTCCATGTTTGCTGCTGGACTCGAGCAGATATTCAATATCGTCCACAAGACTGGATGGTTTTAGACCGTGGGTAAACACCACTGTGCTGTGGAATGACTTATCACAGTGATAAACTGTTCATACATCTAACAACCGTAATGCTGCAATCAGGCCAGCAGAGGTACACCACAGCACTGTAACTGAATTATACAGGTTTTTAACGGAAAAAAGAAAAATTGTTTGCGTTTAAATAGTAAAGCAAATAATAAGTCTAGAGCTAATGGGAGAACATGGAATACTCCAGCATTCAATCATAGACCAAAGCTCAGAACCTCAGCTATAAAAGAGAGAACAAAGGTTAAGTCGCTTATCAGTAGGTGTAGCTGAGAGCCTGGCAAGCAGATAATAACAGGACGGAAAGTGAAACTGACGTTGTTCAGTTTAACAACGTGAAAGAGAGTCGCACCGTCAGAACAGAAAATCCAAAGGAATATTCCCATTCTAGCTGGACAAAATGGGACAACAGTAAGTGCACAGACTTACATACGCCTAATCATAATAATCATATAATACATGACAACTTGCCTTTACACATTTAGATATTCAACATCACTGCTTGTTATCTCCTAAAATGTTGTTGATCATGTTTTCCAAGAATTTTGGGCGCTTGCTGTAGGATCACTATGACCAAATAGTTTTGATTATATTGTAGTTATTGGTTTGTTTTAATAACAAGCAAACATGAAAACAACTGAACATTATCATTAAAGCTCAACTGTGTTTTCTCAGTTTTGTGAAGTTCTTCAGTCTTTTCAAATCCAGAGGAAATCAAATGGACACCAGGTGAGTAGTTGAAGAAAACAGTCTTGTACAACTAGAATGTGTAATTCCAATACGGCTGTTGGAACCATGAGTGTGAGTGGACATTTGACCCAACACTTTCCAAAATACTGGTGTGATGCAAGGCTACTTTTTGTCACTGCATCCAAAACCACACACCACTGTACTGTAGATCCTATACTAATGAATGCAGCTCTAAAGGTGGTCTGCTGTTCATGAAAGTAGTATGCGGTTTTGAAAGCAGCTGTGGCTCCCTGTTCCCTATATAGAGTGGATTATAGCTAGTCCTTGGCTAGTTTAGCCTCAGTGAGCTAATCAGCAAGGCAAGCAAGCCTTGCAATGCAAAACTTTTGAGGATCACATACATAATGTGCCTAAAATGTGTGAAAAATTAGTTTGTCTGGCTATAAACGTTGATGGGGTGCCTTTACTGTTGTTGTTGTTAGCCATGTAGCCTTTAGCATGCTAAGTAGCAAGCTAGCAGAGTGATTGTAGCCCAACAGGTCAAATGTTTGATTGTGAAGTGTTAAGCATTTTGACTAAGTATTTTACTGCTATGGCTTATGAATCTCTGCCTGCCATTATTTACAGATTTGAAAAGGAAAATGTGTCAGATCATAATGATTTCTGGGCAAACTCTGACGCTGAAGTCGTCACTTGTGTTCACTCGGTCCCTCGCCTTTCCGGGGGCTAATCTAATAAACTTCACTCGAGCTGATAACGTAATAGAACAGCCCTAAAGATGGCGCTGGACGTTCTCTTATGGAGAAATAACAAGGCCAAGTGGACGAGGGCCTGTTAAAAGTGGTATTGAATTGGGCTGCATGGCTTCTACATGCAAATACTGCACTGATATATGTCCAGTACATGCCCAGAACATAGTGTAATATTTCAGGGTGGTCAGTTTATATGATTGCTTTAAAGAACCCCTTTTTTTGCACAGGGAGGAACAACTACGAAAGTACATCTTAGAGACCCTCAGCTACATCAAAACAGCCAAGAACTTCTGTGACGCAGAACAACAATGGACCACTCAGAGGAAGACAGAGCTAAAGAAGATGAGAGACATCAAAAGCCGTGCAGGCGAATTCTTAGGCTGTATCAGAAAGCAGGAGCTGGAGAACGAGCTGGGGGCAGTTCTAGGAGACACTCTTGAGGGGCTGAAGAAACTTCATCACTTCCTGGACGCAGTAGAGAGGCTAGCAGTCACCTCACTGTTCGTGTTCGTGGACAAGAGCTTCCTGTTGGAGGGAGTGAACACTGAGGCTGTACGATCGGTGATCTCAGCAGCCAGAACCATGTCCCCACTCCTCATCCATTTCAAGAGAGATGATAGAGCTTTCTTCATGCCTAGGCTGGGAAATGTGGACGTCCTGGCCTTCCAGCTGGACAAATACGTCCTCATCACACAACAGCTCTGCAAGAGAATGAAGTAAGCAACTAAGTCAAATATACCACACTATATTTTACAGTATTCTTCTGAATATTGCAATTATTCTAATGAAAATATTCAAATATTCATGTTTTCTTCTCCACAGGTCCAAAAGCACTTTGGATGTTATAGACCTACAGGAGTAAGTGTCATCAATATAAATGTAACATTTTTCACACTCTTTCTTTTCTTCTTTAAATACATATTTTAACGTATATTCTGTCTGGTTTATTACATGTGGAAAAACAGCAAATCTTCATCAAGATTTAATTTCACCATAAATGGATCCATGAAAAATGCAATTGGCCGCTTGAGCAAAATCAGGTAAGAGTATTTCATCTGTTTTTAAGCTCATTTTGAAATTTTAAAGGACCCAAATCCTACATTCTTCTTGAATGTTATTTTTCCCTCTGTAGTCCATTTAAAATGTTTGTATGGGTTTACGTACCAAAATTTGTACCCATTCAGTCAAAAGAGCATTAGTGTGGTCAGGCACTGATGCTGGACGAGAGATCTGGCTTGCAGTCAATGTTCCAGTTCATCCAAAAGGTGTTCAGTGAGGTTGAGGTCAGGGATCTGTGCAGGCCACTGGAGTTCTTCCACACCAAAATCCTCAAACCATGTCTTTATGGAGCTGCTTTGTGCACTGCGGCTCAGTCATGCTGGAACAGGAAAGGGTCTTCCCCAAACTGTCCCACAAAGTTGGAAGCATACAATTGTCTAAAATGTCCTAAAATCACCTTGAAAAACAGCCCCAGCCCATTATCCCTCCTCCACTAAATTTAACTGTTGACACTATGCATATTGGTAGGTTGTGTCCTCTTGGCATCCACCAAACCCAGATTCATCCATCAGACTGGCAGACGTTTCCACTACTGCAGGGTCCAGTTGTAGCGTGCTTTACACCAATCCAGCCGACACTTGGCATTGCGCATAGTGATCTTAAGTTTATCTGGAGCTGCTCGGCCATGGAAACCCATTTCATGAAGCTCCTGACGCACAGTTTTTGTGTTGATGTTGCTTCCAGAAGCAGTTTGGAAACTTTTTTTTTTACACACTACACTTTTCAGCACTCGCTCTGTGAGTTTGCGTGGTCTACTGCTTCATAGCTGAGCTCTTGTTGCTCCTAGATGCTTCCAATTCTCAATAATATCACAGTTGACTGGGGCAGATCTAGCATGACCTGATTTGTGGCAAAGGTGGCATCATATGACAATGCCATGTTTAAAATCACTGAGCTCTTCACTACGAATTCATTCGACTGTCAGCATTTGTCTATGGAGATTGCATGACTATGTCTTTGATTTTATACACCTGTTAGCAAAGGGTGCAGCTGATACAACTCAACTCAATAATTAGAAGAGGTGTCCACGTACTTTTGGCTATATAGTGTATGTAGATGTGTTGGTTTCCTTGACATCACAAAACAGTGAATTCCAAAAGCTGTTTTTGCAGCTTAGTTTGCATTTATGGACAGTACGAACAAAATGGTGTGAATATTACATCTTTATTTTTAAAATAATTTGGTTTTCCATGATATGATTGGTCCTGTTGCATGGTTTTGCATTTACTCTGCTTTTTTAAATGTAACCCTTTTCTTTCAGAGTGGACGAGTCATTCAGGATGTCATTCTTATTTAATGGGAAAGGTCAGCGCTTCAGTGAGACATACAGGGGACGTCGTTCCAGGATGTTCCGGTTCCTGTCAGATCTAGAGGAGACTGCAGTTAAGTTGGATAGGATGAAGATGGGTTCCAGCATCTCCACTGTGGCGGGCAGTTCAGTGGGCATTGCTGGAAGTATCTTGTCCATCGTAGGCCTGGCTCTTGCCCCCGTCACTGCAGGAACGTCCCTGGCCCTCACGCTCACTGGGGTTGGGTTAGGGGTCACCAGCGGGGTCACTAGCTTAGTCACAGGCATCACTGAAATGGCAGTCAATAGCCATCATGGGGCAAATGCCAACAATGTCTTCCAGAGATTCATGGAGGATGTGCAGATGGTTCTAGATTGTCTAGAGCAGGCAGCTAGACGTCAGCGTTTTGTACCACATCTGGATGAGGGTAATACGGCACTTGGATCTGCGAAAGCAATCATTCATGCTGGAACAGTCAGTAAAGGTATTGATGCCCTTGTGGATGGAGCTTCAGCCATGAAGGCTCTGAAGACTGAGGAGGTAGCGAGGACTGCGGTCAGTATGGGCCTTCAGGAAGCTAAAGCAGCTCGGAACATCCCCAACCTTGCTGCAGACCTGCCTGACATTGGTCGGCTGGCTAAGGGCACTCCTCTGGCGATGACAAAAGCAGCCAGGGCCGGGTTTATCACTCTAAACGCCCTCTTCATTGGTATAGATGTTCTGTTCATCTGTAAAGAAGGTGTGAGTCTGGCCAAAGGGGAAAAAAGTGAAGTGTCTCAGCTCATCCGCTCCAGATCAGCTCTGTGGCGCTCAGAGTTAGAGGCATGGGATAGGATCCATGACCGTCTGTGTAAAGGAAAAGAGACGTTCCAGGACAACCTTGAAATTCTACAGCAATCCTTTAGCATTATTGAAATGATTAGGTCACAAATGAACAAGTGGCATTCAGCATTAATGGAATATTTAATGTATTGCCAGCTGTACTTATACTGCATATGGCTACAAATAGTCACATACGTTACGCGTCCCTAAAAAGAATTTATTGTGGTTTTTTAGACTTGTCATGCTTAACCTTAAATCAGATGAAAAGGGGGGGGGGGTATCTTAACCCTTAGAACCTTGGGTAATTTGGCGTAATTGTTTGGTATTTGGGTCAGTTACTATTACAATTGTAATGATATAGTATTAAAGTATTTCAGTCACACATGCCATATGTTGTTATTTGCAGGAGACCCTGGGCTACTCAGATATACCATGATTTGACATGTAAATGATTTTTTTGATATGTTTATGTATTAGGCTAATTTTAGATCACAAATTTACCTGCGGGCTTCGGGTTCTAAGGGTTAACCAACTCAAGAGTGATGCCCAACAATGAAACAATGATAAAATTAGCCTTACTGGATCCATAGAAACTCCCAAACAATAAGTGGAGTAAATGATCTGAATATGTTAACTTAACTTCCACTTTTATTCACAGTTGTTTTTCCTAGCTGGTGTGTTTAAGTGCCTATCAAGTGCCTAAGTCACTTAAGGCCCATGTACTGTTTACAAAGGGTTATTTCACTCAGACACTGACAGATTTAACCAGAGAAGATTCATAAAACCTTCCATCCAACTCAGTTAACTCAGTTACTGCCATATTTCACTATTTAACACCTCAGCTAACACTGCTTGCCTAGTCTCAGCATAACTTACTTCACCTCGTACCTTTTCACTGAAAAACAGTGAGCCTGTGAAGAGTCAGTTAACTGATACCAAACATGAAAATCCACAACCTAAGCTGAACATTTTATTTCATAAAATCTATATAACTGCTCAGTACAAGTACAAGGCAATGAAATGCAGTTAGCATCTACCAGAAGTAGTAGCATAGTGCAAATGTGCAATAACAGGCATAAGTATGACATATCTATGAGAATATATAACTATATGAACAGTATACACACAATCATTTATATATATATATATATATATATATGCATAATACTACAAATACAATATATACGGTATGTTACGCACTGTTAGGGTAAGCAGTTGTGTGTTGTATTCTATATATAGTGAACAGTCTGTTGTATGGAAATGCAAAGGATAATAAATAATAAATATTGTGTGCAACATACAAGTATGAGTATTAATGGAGTGGTGTGGAGTTCAGCAGGGAAAGAATCTGGACCTGAGCCAACTGGTTCTGTATCTCCTCCCAGGTGGGAGGAGGTTAAACAGTGTGTGGCTGGGGTGGGAGGAGTCCTTGATGATGCTCTGCACATGCAGCGCTGGTGGTGGGCATCACATTACCTCCATGTCAACCTTCAAATCCCAGATACTTCAAAGATACTTTATTCCTCTGCTGTGTCCCTCTTAGTTCAGCTGTTTTCTAGCCAAGTCATGCTAAAACTACTGTACCTCTCGTTCTGGGTGATGCATCGCTGTGTTGTTTCCTCGTGACCTTCAGTTCTGTCCTTAGTTTTCCTTTCTACTGAAACTGGCCGTGTTCTTTTCTGTGTTGATTATGCAACATGTAACTAACTCATTTGCATATTAAGCTCATTTGTACATTGTTGTACAGTGGGGTCCAAGACCACATCACAAATGTGGGACTGTTTTTTATTTAAAATGAACCTGGAAATGAACAGAACATTTTAGAATTATGAAAAATGTAAAACAAAGAAAAGTTCTGACAAATAAAACGAAGAAGACGTTGACAATCCTACACTCTTTCTTGGTCACTATTCACATTTAAGCAAATAACGCTGACCATTTTGAGGCCTTTCTACAAAAAGGTCAGCTTTCCTTATCTCTTCTATTGAAGCTCATGTTTAGACCTTTTAGGTGGTTTTGATCTGCTCTTCAGAGGCTTTTGTGATCAGAGTCGTGCCAAATCAAGTGCACCCTGTCGTTAAAGTAAAAGGTGGACAAACTAAATTCTGAAATTCATGTTAAAATTAATTAAAAGTGATTCTACGATTCACTCAGGTTTTTATGCTGCTAATGAAATTTGTAATGAAACCTTTCATGTAAAATAAAAAGAAATGCTAAATAGCAGCATTTTCACTAGTGGTCTCGGACTTTTAATCCCCACTGCACATCAGTGTATGACACAGCTCAATTCCACGTTATTTCATAACTTTGAGCCTTCAGCATTATTCTGAAATGTGTAAAACATTAAATGTATAAAATACTAAATAATAAATAAATATCTAATATCTAAAATATCTAAAACATTAAGAATAAGAAAAACTGTTCTAAGTCTAGGTTTCTAAATGTTTGACTCTGACGCCCTCTTGTGGGGAGAGGAGAACATCTTCATGCTTTAACTGGACATAAGCTAAGCTAAGAAGAGTCCACTCCTGGCTAAAGCAAACTCAGTAACAGGATTGTTCAGAACCTGTTCAGAGTATTTTTAATAGCATTAAAATGGATTATGTATCACAGTTATGATTTATTTTATGCTTATTTAATAGTGACAGATACATGAGCATATAAAATTGTAATTGCAAAGAAGTATATACATTATATACATATGCTTTTCAAATTTTAATAAATAGTTACTGTTTATTTAATGTACTGGAAAAAATGTATAAAATGTAAAATGTGGCCTGTATATGGCACATTTAATATTTAAACTAAAAAAAATAGAAATTGTGCAGTAAAATTTGCCACTTTTGTTTAGGATTTGTTTAAGACACGTCAATTACAGTTTGAAGGTGGGCCGTGTCGCTAATCAAGGACTCAGGAACACACAGAGGAACCAGTGCAGGTGAACTGTGGAGTGTTAAAAGATTCAAACAAAATCAGACTCTCTGGGTGTCTCTACTCACCATTGACACCTCTTATCACAAGGGCTGCGTCCACAAGGCCACCAGCATTGTGGACGACCTCTCCCACCCCACCCATGGGCTCTTCATCTTCCTGCAATCTGGCAGAAGGTACTGGAGCATCTGTTGCACCAAGTCTAGACTCTGCAACAGCTTTGATTGATTGTTCTGTGTATTTACTGTCGCTTCTTTCACCGTTGTTGCACTGTGAGGCCTGAAGACCAACATTTTGTTCCACTGTATACAAGTTATACTGAGAATGACAGTAAAGACCACTTGACTTGACTCTAAATAAAGGATTCTTTTTTTATCTTCCTGGGGTTCTTTCGGAACCTTGTATATACACCAATTGGCTACTTCGTTAAAGCCATATCCTTGTTTCTACGCTCATTGTCCATTATATGAGCTCCACTTACTATATAGGTGCACTTTGTAGTTCTACAGTTACAGACTGTAATCCATCTGTTTCTCTGCATACCTTGTCACCCTGTTCTTCAACGGTGAGCTAAACAGTTTAATGCCTTCATAGCTAATGAAGAAGTTTAATGCAACTGGAGATGTTATGAATCTGATGGGAAGAGGATGTATGTCTATTTTGCCCCTACGCACAGTGACGAGGATGGTTGTGTTGGAGAATCTTCAACCACCACAAATTGCAGACATAAGTTAGGTCTTGGGGTCAGAACATCTCCAAAACTACACTCAGACTCCACCTACATAACCACAAGTTGTTTGGGAGGGTTACTAGAAGAAAGCCTCAGCCATTGAGGACCAACACAACTCAAGTACCTATGGCCAAACGTTACTGGAACTGTCAGTGGGACCTGTATTCTATGCTCAGATGAGACCGAAATAGAGCTTTTTGGCAACAAACACCAGAGGTGGGTTTGGCGTGGACATGAAGATAGCCATGCAGAAAAGGACCCCATCCTCAGACAAGAAGACCGCATCTCTCCTGAAATGGATGAGGAGCAGGCACACGGTTCTGTGCTGAGATGAGCATTTACCTCCATTGGCAGGAACCTCTTATCCATGAACACAAACAGTGAGCTGACTGCAAGTCTTTCTACTTTGTCCAGGAAGTGATGCTCCTCCAGCCCTTCCAGAGTGTTCTTCAGAAGTTCCCCCAGCTCGTTCTTCATTTTCTTGATTTAGAAAGAAATTAAGAATGTGTCTTTTGTTGTTTTGTAGGTGAAGGTGTCAGAGATGCACTCTTCTGTTTGTTCCTGTAGCTACATCAAAAAGAGAGGCCAGTGAGGGGGATTTCTCAAGTAGCCCTGTAAACTGAAAGCCCTGAGATGTTAAAGGGTCACTATCTCTCTAAATGTTTTAGAAAATCTAAATTCAAATTGCTTATTGCAAATAATTACACTGTAAACTTAAATTAGTTTAAAAAATCATGGAATCAAAAACTCATGCAAAATACTCTTCCTTGTGTAATGAGTTGGCATTGATTAAAACAATTCAGATTATATTAAATGGACTGTTTTGTACAGTAATAATAAATATATAAATAATATATTATTTAATAATAATAATAATAATATATATATATGTATATATATATATATATATATATATATATATATATATATATATATATATATATATATAAATAATATAAATAAATGGCTTAGATAAGACTAGAATCAGCCATTTCTGAGGACTCAGCTTAATGTATGTTTGCCATTCTGTTCGCATTCATGGCTCCAGGCTAAACTGGTAAACGTAAACACAAAACACCATCATGGTAAGAATTACATGTAAAATGCATCCAAACATGAGAGTATGCTATGCCACAAAAATAACATTTGGTAAAGTGAATTATATTTACATTTACAGCATTTAGCAGACGCTCTTATCCAGAGCGACAATAGTGCTTTGTTGTCTACTCAGAGAAAGTATCTTAGCTAGCACAAATAGGTTAAAAGGAGTAAAAGTTTCTCCTGAGCTCAGATATTGCTGCTGATGTTGATACCCAGAGAAAAAGAAATAGAAGTACAAAGTACAAAACAATTTCAATAAGTACCTAAATTAGTGCTCACTTAAGTGCTGTGTAAAGAGACGTGTCTTCAGTCTGCATTTGAAGACAGTGAGAGACTCTGCTTCGGACAGCCAGTGGGAGTTCGTTCCTCCACCTGGGCTCCAGGACAGAGAAAAGCCTTGATGCTCGTCTTCCACACGTCTTGAAGTAGGGCGGGTCAAGCCGAGCTGTACTCGAAGCTCGAAGGGCTCGAGGTACAGTTTGAGTTTTGACCATTGCCTTCAGGGAGGGAGGGGCTGGTCTGTTTTTGGCTTTGTAGGCATCAGGGTTTTAAATCTGATTGGGCAGCTACGGGAAGCCAGTGAAGGGAGCGCAGCAGTGGAGTGACATGACTGAACTTAAGAAGATTGAAGACGAGCCATGCCGCTGCATTCTGGAAGAGTTGCAGGGGCCTGATGGCCGCATAGGAAGGCCAGCCAAGAGTGAATGTAACGTTGGGTGAGCAGGAGATGAAGCAAGATGCAAGAGCGAGTTGGTTTCATTGATGTCCATGGCAGAAACAGGAGCAAAAGCAGGACAAGCTAGAACACGAATAAAACAAGAAAAGAAACAGAACTAAGAAGCAAAATTAAAGCAACAACATAAAGCTACAACTGATCTGTGCACAATCCAGAACAATCCAGAACACATTCACATTCAATGCCAAGCAAAGACAAGACCGAAACAAGGGGTATATATACAAACGCTCAAGATGAGACACAGCTGAGAACATTGACAGGTGTGGAGCTAAGACAAAGGAAAACAAGATATCAACGCTAAAACAGAGAAAGACAAGGACAAAGCACGACAGGACATTACAGCGAGTTGCAGTAGTCAAGCCTTGAGATGGCACGAGACTGAACGAGCACCTGGGTGACCTCTTGAGTGAGAAAGAGTCGAATCCTCCGGATGTTGTACAGGAGAAACCTGCATGACTGAGTCAGGTTCATAGTATAAGCTAAGAACGATAACTGGCATGAGATGGCAAGATCATGATGAGGAACTGTAGTTGCAGGGATGAGTAGCAGCTCAGTCTTGCTAGGACTGAGCTTCAGGTGTTGAGCTGCCATCCATGAAGAGATGTCAGTCAGACATGCC